GGTGAATAAAACCATAGAAGTTGAATGCACAGAAATTTGTAATTTATTATTCCGAATCGATTCTTAAATTTCAGACGTGAATGTTGAAGCTAGAGCGAGCGTGGTAAAAGCAGATGTAAGCAGAGATGATGTCGATGGATCTTGGAATCTGTCTGTAACCGGAGAAACCCGAGGGCAGGTGGAAGTAGAGTTCTCTTGTGCTACTCAAAGAAAGGGCTAGCACTGTAGGGACCATTTGTTTGAAAATTATTGCTGAACTCTTAAGGAGAAGGAGAGAGAAGAAGAGAGAACTTTGGGGGCATTCTTCACTCTTTGGGGGCTGAGAGACCTGCCAGTGAGAGAAGGAGATACAGTGGAGCAATCCAGAGAGGCAGGAGGTTAATCAGCAAGAGGAGAAAAGAACTTACTGAGACAGAGTCTAAAAGAGAACTTGGAGATTTCTAAAGGTGTTATTTAGAGTTTATCTTTGATTTTGCTTTCCAACTTGTGGAAATGCTACCCTGGCATGAAGAGTTGGTGGAACCATGACACAGGAGCCATAGTGATTTTGGCTGATTTCATGTAGTCCATGTGCAGGTGAATTTGTGTTTGAGACAATGACAGCGGGTAGCTGATATTTCCCATGCTTCCCTCAAGCAGGGAATCCAAGGAAGCAGAGAAGGCGAGGAAGAAAGGTGACTTGGGATCCTGCCTCAGGGCGGGTTCAACACTAGGAAAGGGATGTTTCAGAGGAGTGGAGGACAAATTCACCTAGCTGGCAATTGTGGCCTGACAGAATGGCAGAACACATGGACAGTGAGACTTGGTGCTATAAAATTTAGCATCTTAGAACCTGCATTGAAGTCTCTGGACATGTATCATTAGCTGTGTGACTTCAGGGCAGTTTGTAAGTATTATGAGAATCAGAGAACGGGAAAGGAAGCAAGGAAGCTGACAGACATTTGGCACATGCCTCCTGGGCACCCAGAGTTTCAGGGGAAGACACCACTAATGTAGCATGGCGAGATGTATATGGAAGCAGAAAGTGCCTCAAAAGTAACGTGCTGCTTTTTGAAGTTATGGCGAGAGAACTGAGAGCAACTAGAGGGTGTAGCTTACAGCAAGATTTGAAAGGCCTGATGTCAAGTGATCCTGTGTTGATCCGATCATCATTTTCCCACTGCTAACATTCCTGCTTCCTGTAGTTTGCTTCAGAGGTAGAAGTTTAAAATGGACTTTGTACTTGCAAAGTAACTGCCCTTCCTTTAATCTCGCAAAGCATTCAGTATAGTTAGGTCAGCGGTAAGATTTGACAATGCACTGGAGTTCATTTTCTCTGTCATGATCTAAGGAAAATGGGAGAATAGGGCAGTTCAATGACTTTCTGAAGGACACACCACCATTGGTATCTGAAGAAACTACCTGGAAATTTGTGGTCTTGCCTTAAGTGAAGAGACCCCTAGAACATTGTACCCCCCAAAAAACTCTTCATTTCAGGGAAGAGGTAACACATGAAGGGTCAGCTTTTTGCCTTCAGTAGACACAGCAGAATTGAGCAGTTAATATTTTGGGTTTTAGGGAGAAAAAAATAGGTGCTGCAGAATTAATGACCTCTCGTGTATTTCCGTTCCATAATTTGCGATGTAGACTCACACACACATTTGAATTTGTTTCCCTTCTATGTTTTGGAAAAATAGGCGTCCTTACCATCATGAAGAGGTTGCTATTGTTTGGAGCTTGACTTATCAAGTTTGCAAGACTCTGGGGGGAGCTTTCCTGCCAGAATATAGAACCATGCATCATGCAGACATTTGAATGGTCCCTGATGCCTGTTTTGAGAAAATATTCCTGCTATTATCCTGAGTCGACATAATATATAGGACTCAGTTAGAAAGCTTACAGTGTGATTTCTACTGGGAAGCATCGCATGAAGTTGTATCCAGTTGGAAACAGTGCACAATTAGAAGACAATTTAGAAAAACAAAGCAGAGAAAGGGAAAAGGACATCACTCATAGTCATAGAACCTGACAATCATGGGGGCACTCCCTTTTCTAGTCGGCTTTAGTTTCTTTCCATTGCAATGTGATGACAAGTCAGAGACCAAGCCACAGAGACTACAGAGTGGCTTCCTCTCTCCCTCTCAGGCACTGTGGACATTCACCGGGTATTCTCTGAGTGGTTCGGAACCTTTGTGAAATGTGGGATCTTTCCCTGACTGGCAAGTTGTTCGACAGTAGCTTTCCAGACCTAGGCTAGGCCATTTATCCCAGAAGCTCTCTCAACCCTGACAATCAGTAACTCTTGCACATCATTGACAACATTGACTACATGCTTGATGCAGGGTACACAGAGATAGAGAATGCATTCCTGCTTTCAAGATCTGCTCTATTGTTTATGGATGCTACCCTAGCAGACTAATAATGCCATATCACTGTGACTACTGTAGGGCAGCAGTTAAGATCTGAGCCAGTAGGGTGACTATTCTTGCTTGGGAAGTGAGAAGAGGAAAGTGTGGGATGGGTCTTGGAAACTGCACATCTCACAGGTTCCCTCAGTGGAACCAAGGGAAAGGGAAAGGGAACTTCACAGATCTCAGGGCCTTGGGAGCAGCAGGGCAGCATAGCACAATGTTAATGCTTACATCATGTTTCCAATTGGCTTTGTCTAAGACATGTACTGGCATGTCCAAGACTTTGTTCCGGAAGCTTTTTGCATGTCATCTCAATGTCATTTCACTCTGTGATGGAAACTCTAGAGTCTGGAATTAATATTGAGGGACCCTCTGACAGTGGACATAAGCTGTAAGCAATTTTTAGCTAGACCCATTTGCACTTAACCCAGTCTGAAATCTACAGAGCTTCAGCATGGGAGCTGGTTTTGATCAATACTACTCAGTGGTAAGTGAAGATATTATGTTATTATGAAATGCTTGTTTATTATCTTACAAACACATGGCACTAGGGAGAAACTGCCCTTTTAGTGGAGTCAGGCACCCGAGTGCTCATGGAACTCATTCAATGGAAGTTCTGGTACATTCCTTCTGTAATTGTCTCATCAAGGCTATGAGAAATGTCACTTTGGCCACTGAACCAGCAGTCAGATGTCAGCAGCCATTCCTTCTCTTTTGCTACCCCAACTTCTTTCCTTCCTCTTCCCTCTTCCGTTCCCAGTCCTGGTTCATAACCCACCCAACCAGTACATCCTTTTATTGGTATGAGAAAATACCAATTGGTATTAGAAATCATTTCAAAAAAATAAATTGGTATTAAAAAATAGTCATGTAAAGTAAGGTTTGCCTTGAGACATTGTGAGCAATCTCTGAACTCTTGACGGGGGGGATCTAAGTGACAATGTTGTATTTCCGTGACCAAATACTTCGTTGTGTAGTGGTTGTCAAGGTAGCATGATCAGTGAGCACTGGGCAAATGAGTGAACACTTTGATTATAAAAGTGACAGGAACCAGTGGCATGAGCAAGTGAAGGAAACTGTGGCTCTGTATCTAAGGTGGGAATGTGGACCTACGCGCACTATGTGTCAGTTTTCCCAGCCAAATAAACATCTATGATGTGGAGGAAAACAGTTTGCATTCAGCTGTACTTCACACTGAAATCAAGTCAGACTGAAGGGGTGGATAAAGTAGGAAACAAACAGGGCTTTCCTTGAGATTTCAGAGCATAGATGTTTTATTTTATTAGTATTCTCTTCAGCAGTAGAGGAAATTCCAGTGTTTCAACCACCTGACTTGGTAATCCAGTTCAGTAAATTATATTGTCTCCCCGGAACAGCAGATCGTGTCTTTGTGTTCTGTTGACTCTTTCACCTCCTCCTCTTTGAATCAGGTTCCACCAACTGGAAAATGACCCATAAGCCCAGAAGTAATGGAGTCTAAGAAATACCTTAGAGCTTTTTCAGTAACAAAGATTGAGGCTTTTGTTTTCCTGCACAGATACTTGAATTTCACCTGGAATTTCAGAATCCATTCAACTGTGGAAGAAAAGGGAGTAAAAACAGGAAACCTACTCACACTCTGTGGTGCTTTTTTGGTGTACTTTTTATTAAGAATTAATGAAAGGAATTAGCTAGCACTCGGGAGGTATCAATGTAATCATGAAGCATTATCTGTGAACGAAAGTAACACCTCAGTATTTATGAAAATGGGTTTCATGAAATAAGTTGGGTCATGTCAATACACAGTAATGATATCGTGCAGTCATTGGAAAATGAGGTGACTACTGAATGTTATCAAGTCATCTCCCAAGCAAAGTGAAACAAAGCAAAGGTCAGCCCGGAACATGGAAGCTGCTAGCACCTCAGAGAAGAGATGCCAGAAGCAAAGAATGGCTCTGGGGAAGTTTCCAGAATGGGCTCAGACAGGAGGGAATTGACATTTAGAGACACAATGGTATATGGTATCTTGTAGTCCCAATGGTATCTTGGACTGCAAGTATTCCATGTCCCAAAATAAATAATGGTAGGACTAGTACAAGAAAAATTCTTATTGAGAACATCCTGCTCTAATGTCAGTGTACAGCAACATTGCCATTTTTTATCAACTTCCCATTAAGTTGGGTTGAAAAACTTCCAGACTAAGTTTGTGAATAGGAATTATTTCTAATGGAAAGATTTATAAGTTTTTTTTTAACTGAATTAAAATAGGAGGTGTTTTGCAAAATCACACCTCTTGTTTAGATCTTTGTAGCATGTTACAGTACCAGCCTAATGCATGTTCTGTGGAATAAGAGTTTCAAAGTACTGTGTACCATGTGTGGCATGAGTAAGGAGTATAGTACTTTGGATTTCATGTGTTTCCATTTTGAAACCAAACTATTTCACTTGGTATTTTGTTCTCTACCATCCAGTTAGTGTGCCCTGATAATACTTTTCATTTCATACTGCTCAAATGTCATCCTACCTATTTCAATGAAATGAGTGCATTGAAAACCAAGTTAATGATAACAGCAAAAATCCTATATTAAAGGTTGGTTTTCTAATTGTTTTTTCTCGTCGTTTTCCTTACAGTGCGGGAGTTGGCCGGACTGGTTGTTTCATTGTCATAGATGCCATGTTAGAAAGAATAAAGCATGAAAAAACTGTAGATATTTATGGCCATGTCACTTTAATGAGAGCCCAGAGGAATTACATGGTTCAGACCGAGGACCAGTACATCTTTATCCACGATGCACTGTTGGAAGCAGTGACGTGTGGAAATACCGAAGTGCCGGCTAGAAACTTGTATGCCTACATTCAGAAGCTGACTCAAATAGAAGCAGGAGAAAATGTCACAGGAATGGAGCTTGAATTTAAGGTATGGTGCTGGTGGTGACGTGGTCCTCCAGGAGCACGTCACTCTCAGATGATGATAGAGGCGCAGCTTTCCTTTCTTAAGCTTTGACATTTGGGAAGTACCAGATTCCCTTACCTTCTTCTAAGGTGTCTGACTATACAACACTTTTCCTCTTTCCCATTTGAATTCTTTGCCTTCTGACAATACTTTGAGTTCTTTGTAGCCTCATTTAAACGGAGAGATCATAGTCTTGCAACATTGTATGTAGAAATTCAGCAGGCTGTGTGGACTCATTGGGTAGACAGGAAAAGCAGTGCAGCTGGAAGACTCCCTTGTTCTAAAGCAAGGGAAAGATTTAGAACTGAGGAAAGAAACTGGGGTGTGTTGCTTTCTACAGCATAGGCTGAAATCGTCTTTGTTGGATTGTTCTGTTCCACAGCGTCTAGCCAGCTCTAAAGCTCACACCTCAAGGTTCATCAGTGCCAATCTTCCATGTAATAAATTCAAAAATCGCCTTGTTAATATTATGCCATATGAATCCACAAGGGTATGCCTGCAGCCTATCCGAGGAGTCGAAGGATCTGACTACATCAATGCCAGTTTTATTGATGGATACAGGTACAAACTCTTGCTCCCCTGACAGTCCAAAGCCTTGGTATTTGCATGTGCCCTAGTTTTTTTTTTTTTTTTTTTTTTTTTTTTTTTTTTTTTTTGCCAGAATGAATTTCTTCTCCATTGAAAGCATTTCTTTCTGCATAGGTCAGCATTCAGTCCCTTGGTATTTGTTGATCATTATTTTGGATAGGAATAAGGAGCTGCAGTTGGGAAGTTTGTAATGTGGCCTGCTGCACTCTGCTTTCCAAGGCCACTTGGATGGGAGGGAGGTAATAGAGAAGCTGTCTGGGGCCACATTTCATACATGGAATGGATTGTGAATTATTTCTAGAAAAATGAAACTGCACAAGAAAATGTTGAAGGGATTTGTGTGACACGTGAACTGGAGCTGCTAGTGGTGCCCTAAAATGTAAATCATGATGAAGTCAAACCTAACATTAGAAAGGCAAATCTTTGGCAAAGTCTCTAAAATGTATTCATTGTTCTTATAGGAGTGCATCATCCTAACAGGAATGCACTGCCATGACAGTAACAGGTTTTTATTTCATCACTGGATTGAGCCTGTGCATGTTCTCTGAATTCTTTGCCCGGTTCTTTTCATTGTTCCCAATGCAGACAACAGAAAGCCTACATCGCTACCCAGGGACCGTTGGCAGAGACCACAGAAGACTTCTGGAGGATGCTCTGGGAACACAATTCTACAATTGTGGTGATGCTCACCAAGCTGCGGGAGATGGGCAGAGTAAGTATGTCTCCTCCGCCAAAAGAGGATTTCACTGTAACAGCCCACATGCCATTGGCATTTCTTTGTGACGCAAGGAAAACTGGACACCATCTTGGTCATGTGCTCCTCAGTGTTGGTTTCGAACGTGAAAAACCACGTTCAGTTCTTCAATGGTGTGATGTGAAGGATACTGCTTGGTTTCCAGTGACACAAACTAAGTGCAATAATGACATGGGAGATAGTGTTTTAAAGTTACACAATGTTAGTTTCTTCCTAAGGATCATGTGGTCATCAGAGATCTACTTGTGAAAACGGAGTATTCTGGAAAGAGAAATAAAATAGTATTAGACACCTCTGAAGCCCCACCACTGAATTCAATAGGTGCACTTTGCCATATTCATAGGAAGTAAATTCTAGAGCGGCATCTGATATGTAGCTTTTAAAACCTACAGAGAGCAGCGGGGGGAGGGGGGAACTTGAGTGTTCTCATTTGTTTATGGAGACTTCTGTGAAACTTAGCCAAGTTATAAAAGCTGCCTACGCTCCATTGTCTTCCATGGACAAGTGAAATGGAACCAGATCGAGTCCGAGGTTAGTTTGTATTCGCATTCGATGGCTCAAGGCGACTGTGGTGGTGCCAGGACTCATGTAATTATTTGCATCCTTTCTTGTGATGATGCCAACCCTGTCGATAGGACTGAGTTGTACTGATGTGTCTGTAGCACATATTGTATGCTGATACCATTGGGCATTTTTGGAATGATATTGTTCTAGTCTTGGGGGATATGTGGTTGTGCAAAGAAAAGGAGTCCCATGCACTTGGAATGGAATGTGGAAATTTTAGAAATGAAAGAAGAAAAACTACATAGGTGGATTGACATACACTGTACAAATTGTCCATAAGGTTTTCACATGAATCTCTCCTCGTAGGAGAAATGTCACCAATACTGGCCAGCAGAACGATCTGCAAGATACCAGTACTTTGTTGTGGACCCGATGGCTGAGTACAACATGCCACAGTACATCCTAAGAGAATTCAAAGTCACAGACGCCAGGGTAAGTGGGCACCGTCTGATGCGCTTCACCACTGGCAGACAACTAGTCTGAAATCCATGTCTGGGAGAAACATTTGCCCAGATACACCCAAAACAAAAGGAAATCACCCATTCTAGAGGACCGTTCCTCTTGAAGAGTCATTTTGTCTCTGACTGGCAAGGGTTCTCACCAACCCTGGCTTCCATTCAAATATAACATCTGGCAGCCCCACTTGGTGGATGCACTTGGTGAGTGCGTGTGCTGGGAAGTGCTTACACTCACCTCTGCTAGTTTTCTTTGGAGTGTTTTTTTCCTTGTGTTCTTCATGACTTGAGGCTGTAAATATGTTGTTGTTTTTCAGAGCCCTTTAGGTCACGTGGGTTTAGAGGTTCATTGGCTCTGATGTTTAAACTGCAGAGCAAATGACATTCTTTCGAAGAATCTGCCAAGCTCTGCACATTGTCATTTGATTCCTGGCATGGTTTATTCTTCGGTGTGCTGAAGTGTCTGTCTGTGAGCACTGTGTACACATGACCTTTGTTGGCTCATGTTCGTTCTGCATTTCTGTCTAGATGGCTAAGTCCAAGGTTCAGCCCTGATATAACGTGTTCTATGCATTAGCTTTCCTATCCTAGCCTTTGGCCACTTTCAAGCCTTGAGAGTGAACATATCTTAGGAAAGAGCGGGAGAAGTCCAAAGCCTTGACTTATTTTTGGAATGGTTCCAGCGGGTGGGTTGAATAAAATTCCAGAGTAGAACTATTTACCCGAGCCATTATTTATTCTGGAGAGCAGCTTTCTCACCTAATCCTCATATGTAGAGATTGCCTGCTAATCTCCAAAGCCTGGCCCTTGCTGTGGACCTAAAGTGAAGGAGAAACTGGTCAGCAGGTTGCTTGGCCGAGAGGACAGACCTGTTAATCATCCCCGAAAGTCTGAAGTACTCTGAAGATGTCTGTACTGCAGGCGGCAGCTAAGTGTCCATGTTGTGTTTGGAGGTGCCTTCATGACCTGTGCCATTGTTCAGAGGAAAATGATGTCAGTTCAGAATTGTAAGTCAGGTATGTGAGTGAAAATCATAAATGCATCGTCATCAAATTCACCCACCATTTCTGAAGGTAAAGAGTAGAGGTGGCCTCCACCGAAGGCACCCAACACCATCGTCACTACTCTTCTCTTGTGCCAATGATATCTGTTTACAGTCAGAGAGACAGATTTGCTTAAAGAAGGGGACTGTTCCTTGGGGTGGTATCATTTTCTTAGCTGCCATGGCATTTGCTGTTTGAGCTCCTGATGGGGTTGTCATGTGCACATGCCAGTTTGGAAAGCAAGTTGGCACTTGCAAATACAGTATTGTTAAGCAGAGAACCTTTCCATGGAGTCAGGTAAGTTCTTCTCCAAATAGCAAGGGCTTGTGCACACGACCTCTCTGTGATGTCGAAAGGACCCGCAGGGAAACGTAAAATCCCCAAGACGTTTAGAGAACACATTTGCATCATGTAGCTTCCACTCCTGTGTTTTTCTACACACAGGGCAAAATCAGACATGCATGCATAGTAAGCAAGTATCAGTGAATGATGAGGCCCACCAGTTCTTTCCCTGTTCATCAGTGTTCCTCACAAAGGTGATGTGAGCAATATCAGAACCTGTTTCCTGTCCATCCCCAGAGAATGGTAGCCAGCAGTGTTGCCTGTGGATTCCGCTAGGCAGGTTGATAGGTGGCCATGTTGAGTGGAGCTACCCCCCTCTATGAGTCCATGAGAAACACTGAGTCATTGACTTACCCTGAGTCTTGAGAATAGACACCTCTTTTCCCAAAATAGACGGAAGTCCAAACTTGGACGGAGATCAGTGCCTTTGAGCTTGGACTGTGGGTCCTAGCCCTCTAGTGATTGAGGAGAGAAAGGTGCTAGGCATCATTGTTCTTTCTGCTCCTGCATACAGGAGGGGCCTGCAGCTTTTGTTAGACATCTGAAAATACTGTGAGTTTCCAGAAGGAATTGTGAAATCCTTCCATGTCATGACTGAGAACAGTTCTACCTTATCACGTTAGAAAGGAGTCACCCCTCTTGCCTAGAGCTGGCTTTTGTTGCTCTGCCATTTGGTATGTGTGAAATGCTCCCCACAGATGCCCAAATTCTTTGTGGTACATCCTTAAGGGTGTGTTTCCAGAAGAGATCATTTGTATGCTAAGTATTTATCTGATCTCTTAGGTGGGTCACCTCACTTCCTGGTCCACTGCATAATTCCCTAGAACAGGCCTTTGCCTCCCATGGCTAAAAGCTGTGTGTCCCCGAGACATGGGGGCCAGGTACCCAATTGGTGTCATCCTGTCATCGACACTGTCCTTGGAAAATGCTAGAAATCTACAATCTCTGATCTGGATGACACGCCTAGATGTTGGTTTCCATGTGAAGAAAGTATTGGATGGTGGTCATGGTACAGTATACATGTGCCTCTTTGGGATGGTAGGCATGGTTCCCCACTAGTAGGGGAACTCGGTGGCTAGTTACTGTGAGAATCCAGATTTGTCACTGCCTACAATCACATCTATTGATGTTCTCCATGCCTGGTGGTAAGAAGACAAGAGTAACATGTGATGACGTCTCATGAAAAATGTGGCTAATGTTTTCCTTTTGTTTCCTTTCTGGCACCACAAACCATCGTTGCTGTTGGGGTCTGCACACTGGCTGAATGCTGCTGGCGTCCTTTCTTTGTGGCTTTCCCTTGAAAGGACGGTCAGTCCCGAACAGTGAGGCAGTTCCAGTTCACGGACTGGCCAGAGCAAGGAGTGCCAAAGTCCGGAGAAGGATTTATTGACTTCATCGGCCAAGTCCATAAAACCAAGGAGCAATTCGGCCAAGACGGACCCATTTCAGTCCACTGCAGGTGTGTTGAGAATCAGGAATGACAAGGTTCCTTTTGTGAGTAAGGATCTCACTGGGGTTTTCTGAGGTTGGAGGAACAAAGTGCATTCGACAGTACAAGACCCAATGTAGGAGCACACAGGCCTATGGAGAACGGACAGGGCTGTCCATTCTGAAGCCCTTGGGAAACATGCGGGGTCTATCTCCTAGTGTAAGAGACTTGGAGTGTCAAGGAGGTAGAAGGGGGTGACATCGTGTGACCAAAGCTTGCCCCAGAAGTTTTGTTCTGCCTGTAGATGGGCGTCTCTTTTCCAGAAGGATTGTTTCCGGAGGTCTTCTGAAGTATGGGTCACAGTTTGTTTCGGTAGACCCGGCAAGGTCCCAAAGGACTCGGTCACCTTAGGTCCACTTACCCGAGTCACAAGTATTGGGGAAATGCCTACTCTGGCCTGTTGGAATAGCTTTTCGGGGAGAGGGACCCCATGCAATTACCACTGAGACAACAGGTACTGTTCTCGTCATCCATGTCCAGAGACATCATGGAATGTCTAAGGCAAGGACTCCCTTTGTTTCTCAAGAAAGGAAAACCGGAGGAAGGTGTTTCAGCTTCACATTTGAGTAGTTGTACTAAAGGGCCAAATGGCATTTTTTTCCCCAGTCTAATTGTCCTTGACAGGAATGGTGGCTACAACCCCTAGTGATCATGTGTTCAGCTATTTCTTTCTTCCTTATTTTGCTTTCGCAGTACTAACTGTTCTCTCTGCTACTTTGTACTGGTGTCTGAGGGAAACGAGAAATAGTTATCGAAGTTTAAGGACAATACTCATTCTTCTAGTCCATAAGTGAGTAAAATCGCAGCCCCAGTGGAAATGGCAATGTGCGTGAAAATGGTTCCTATGTCAGAAAAGGAAGCACCTTCAAGATCATTATTTGCAGTAGTGCCCACAGCCTGTTAGAATGCAAGTCCTTGAAGTGAGAGTAGAAACAGCAAGGCAACGGTTCAGGAAGGAGGCCTTGTCAATGTGGTGCATTTGGATGTGGATGTGCCAAAAAGCTTCCAGCGCAAGCATGTGACGTCATTTGCTGGAATGCCTATTTCCTAAGTCGTAGCAATGTGAAATCTAAGTTTCTGATATCGCTGTATACACCAAATTGTCACGACACAATGTATTTTGCTGCCAAAGAGTAAACAACAATTCCTAAAGACATCAGAGACCAGGTCTCCAAAATGAGACAACATGGTGAACCTAAGCTCCAAGCTGTCTGAGCTCCAGTTTCACTTCTACCGTCACGTCCCTCTGCCAGTAAGGAAACGGAGTTCTAGCCCAAGTTTCTCAGCGGCTATCTAAGATACTTGCAAGTCCCTTGGGTTTGCTAGACATGCCCTAGGACCTGAGAAGCCAACACTATGCAGTTGTGTGCAGTTATGCACACTCCCTTCCCTCTAGGCAGCTAGAGTATACGGGAAGGTACACGTGGAATCACGTAGATCACCCAAGCAGATGATACCTATAGAGTAAGCTTGCACCGCCTAAGTCATTCTGCTCCTCTGCCAAATGACTTTCCTCGGTAAGCTATAAGACTGTCTGCTTTCCTCTAGAAACGGTGGGCATTTTCCTGAGTATATGTATCCAAGTGCATGTTCCTTGTCATGTTTTGTCCTCACCACGTGGTGGAAACACTCCTATAGTATCAGTACCGTGCCATTGATAGCGTCCAGCCTTGTAGGAAACCACCTAGTCCCAAGTCAGGAACTCTACTGTTCTGTTGCAGCAGTCCCATGAAGGTCACACAGACTAGGGAGTACCTGGATCATTTGACAAGAAGATCACCCATCACTGTGTTTCAGGAGGAAGGGTATCTCAAGGTTGAAAGGGCTCATCAAGGTCATGGACTCTAGCTTCACAGCCAGCCTTGACTGCTGGACATTGTCAAGGCTGCCCGTGGAGGATAAAGCCTCCCGGACTGCTTTGACTTTTTTGAAAATGCAGTTTCTAAGGGAACACATGACCTGTAGATGCCTATCGGTGGCATCCTCATGTCAAGGAATCCATTTTCTACAGCCTGTACCCACGCGTTCCAGGGGCCATTTCATGAGGACCATAAACTGCAGATGGCTTTCCTACTTGACGAACACAAAAGCTATGAAGGAATGTTCTTCTCTGACTGCAGTAACATGTCTAGAAATCTTCCAAGAAGAAGGAAACAAACCACAAACCTCCCTCCTAGGGTAGAAAGAAAGCTGGTGTTAGAAGTGCAGAAGATCTGAAAGGGAGTCGTCAGACTCAGTGAAGCACCACCTTTTATGTGGGTTAGAGAGCCCATGTTCAAGAGGATGTCTCCATAATCATACTGCTATGAAGACATTTCTATGTATAGGGGATGGGACAGTTGACACACATGAAGTCACTGTAAGAACAGGGTAGACTGGAACCTAGGAAGAGAGGGCCAATGGAACGCACATGGAAGCCATGTGGCCCTCCTTTGAAAGCATTCTGAGGCCAGGGCTACCATGTCAGGGCCTGCCAGAATAGCACAGAGCTTTGTTGGACTTACCAGTTCCTTTAGGTATGGTTCCTGGCTCTTTCCAAAAAGGCACATCCTCGTCGTTTTGAGAACATCCTCCTAGTCTCTTTGAAGCCATTGTCAGAGTGCCAGGACACATTCTCCTGTGTCATGAAGCAGATGTCCCATGGTTTGGAACGCTGCAGTGGCCAAAGTCATCCTAGGGCAGTAGGTGGGCAGACGGTCACCCCCAAGCCATTGTGGCCGATAGTGCAAGTGTCTCATTCGGTAACACTGTTTTCATTCTTGCTCACAGTGCGGGCGTCGGAAGAACCGGAGTCTTCATCACACTGAGCATTGTTTTGGAAAGAATGAGATATGAAGGCGTTGTCGATATCTTCCAGACTGTGAAAATGTTAAGAACACAACGACCAGCCATGGTACAGACAGAGGTGAGAAAGAAGATCTCTCCGTTGCATCTCGAGAGTCCAGTGGTACTGCTGTCGAAAATGTACCCATGGGTTCAATCGTTGTCGACCTCATGGCCCTGTCCTGAAATGTCAGTCAGTGTGTATGCGTTCATCAGAGAGGTCGTGACTGGGTGAAAGTGTGGTCCGTGGTCTCCGTTGGATAGGTTGAGTCTATAAAAAGGGGTCCTTCCTATCTGCAGTGCAAATATGTTACCAAAGAAGCAAAGCAGTACCTCATGTCATGGACTCTTGGTGTGTTTTACTTGTCCATTGACTTTCTGAGTAGACCATGTGTTAGACTTCTACTGTTCTCTATTTCCCTTGAAGTTTTCATCTATTTTTCCATCCTTTTTCTTGTTTTGTACAATGGCTGCATTTGCATCTTGGTTCTCGTCCCCGTCCAATTTCCCCCCAGCCTTGTTTGGATCCTCCTCCTCCCACCTTGGAGTGTGTCTGTGGGTGACTTATTTTCCATTGATGATGGGGAGTTTGTTTCCCTGCTCCCTTATTTGGAGGACCTACGGGCCTGCTGGGAGGGAGGCCCTCCGGGGGTGTTCTTGCTGGCTGACGTCATGGAGCAGCATCCCTTGCAGCACCTACCATGTTGCTGCGAGTGGCATGTGTTTCTCTTTGCGGATGGCTGAGTCCTAATCCATTGTGTCTTGGCACCCCAGCTTCTCGGTCCAGTCCTCTCTCTGGGCATTTCGGTGGCTTCTGTAGCTTCCCTATTGTCACTAGTGCTGGCCTTCAGCTTGGGGTGCAGGTGTCCTTTGGGTGGATCCCGAGGGGTTGCGCATGGCTCAATCCTAGTGAAAGGCCCCTGTGAGCAGATGGAGGAGCCTCCACACAGCCTCCCATAGTGGCTGGAGCAGTTTGCTTTCCCAACAGCAGTGTAGGAGAGTTCCTTTGCCTCCACTGCCCCCCCCCCAACACTCAGGCCCGTTCGCCCGGCCCAGTGGAGTGTGTGCTCTGGCTCAGAGTGTGGCTCAGAGCACACACTACAGGCGCCACTGGGCCGGGCAAATGGGCCTGAATGTTGGGGGGACAGTGGACGTTTACTACCACCAGAACACTTAGCCAAGCAAGTGACTACACAAGATAGAAAACATAACACCACAGAACACCATCTCTTGAGCATGACCAGCTTTATTGGAGGTCGATGCACACTTCAGCAAAGTACAAACAATCCACTTGCAGCCCTCAACAGAAGTTGCCTTCCTGGGGAATTCCCTTTTCCTGACCCCTGCTCCTGTGTACACTATCATTCGTTCCCCATGTCTACCGATGCTCTCACTTATTCCAAGACAACTCCTCACGTCTGCAGAAGGACATGCTGCCTGCCATTTTCCTTTCAGCCTGGCCCCTGCAGGACACACACCGAGCAGCTACACTGCACTAGGCCCACGGGGACCAATACTCGATAGGGGATGAGGGGACTTTCAGGGCAGGAAGACTTGGAAAGCACCTCCTGTGAAGGACTTGGTGCATCTGAGGTCACTCACCACAGTGCAGACCTTGCTCCCTGAAGCCACACGTACCCATCTTGGGAAGTGCCATTTTCCTCAGCACGGTGCGTCCGCAGCCGTCTCTTCCGCACGGGCAACCTGAAAAGGAGACAGCCCAAACAAACAATCCATCAGCATAGGCTAAGAAGTTCCTCTCTTCAATGGGCAGCCACTGGCGGTTGCTCCTTGCACAACAGTTTCTATTTGTCCACAAGACAGTGCTCACTCATGCTGTCGCTGCTCGGCATGAGGGGGCCCCTTCAGGCGAGTGGATGAAAGCAGGCCTGAGCACTTAGGAAGCATGCCATGTGGCACATTGGGGTTCACTCCCTGAAACCAATGGGTTCTTGGGCCGACAGCATACTTTTTTGTTCCCATCTAGAGGTAACTGTTGACTACTCCTGACTTGTCACTTTTCTTTTCCAATGGACTCATGGCCTCTCTCCCCCACTCCCCCTTTGTCCCCTGCAGGATCAGTATCAGTTCTGCTATCGGGCCGCACTCGAGTACCTGGGCAGCTTTGATCACTATGCAACGTAGAAACCCCCAACCCATTTCGGATTTTTACTACATGCCCTTCCACATCCACGGAGTCTCTTCTGAGCCATACAGGGCACTTGAGAAGTCCTCTTCACTTCTAGCTAACCACCACCTAGTGGGACTAGGACACACAAAACAAATGTACAAAACTCTTCCAGGTGGACCAAGAATTCCATGGAACGATCGAACCTGAAAAACAAGAGCGAATCCTGACTGATGAGGCATCTGAAGGATTTCCTTGGCAGATACCTCGAGGATTCCAAAGAAAGGGAAGAAGACATCACAGCCAAGACCCAGCACCTTGGGCAGGATTGCTCGAGTGGTGTGAGGAGGAATGGCCAGCGGGGGCGGTGCAGGGCAACACGTTGGCTGGTGTGGCTTCTCATGAGAACATGGACTCTGCTTTGACATCACCCCTTCCCACCATCCTGCTCATAGTCACATTTTAGGGGGAAAGGCGGGGGGTGGGGGATGTTTCACAAAAGAAAGTCTTGGATTTAGTTTTTTAGGATTGTAAAGATACTGCTGACCTGTGCTTCATTTTTAACTGTGTCCACTTTTTTTTTTAATCAATGTCTCATTCGATAAAGTGACTTTTCACGTTCCATAACTCTTCATTTTTTTTATTTCCAAATGGTAGCTTTTTTTTCACCTGTATCACTTCTCTGTACTAGCTGGCTGTAGAAATATCAACGACTTGGAACATTGGCACATTTGGCTGCAATACTCCATCTACAGTATCGGCCTGTCAGAGATGCCTTTGACACTTACGTTCCCTTTGCATTGGTGAGCAAGTACCCATTCTGTTCCAAGAGAACGCTTTCTTTGCTTTTCAGAATCAACAGGGAGGCGCAAAGTATAAAGTTGCTGCTAACATATATACATATAGAGCCACACCGCCTAGGGGTGTCTATGTATATAGAGACAGTGTGTCCACACTCAAAGAGAGATCTCGCTAGTGTGCCACTCCTCCACGATTTCCTTTGGGTAAGCTACAAAAGCGATCGTAAGCAGTCTGTCGCTTACTCACTGGAGGACATAAGGGTCGTTCCTTTCGGAAGGGACATGAGGAATGCACATCAGCGATCGATTGTCAAGCCTCACCCCCTCGATTCCCCCTACCCACCTGATCCTATTCACCAATACCATTCTGTTAACCAGGCTTCCCAAAACAGTTCACTATTTCTACCACTCTAGTGCAATAAAACAATTATGAACTAGCTAAGAGGTGTGCATGTGGGAAAGGTCAGTGCATATCCCTTTAGGAGGGGAGAATGTTGTAATATATCAGCTATCCAGTTGTTTCCAAACCGTGTACTCAATCGTTTCTTGTCTATAGTATGTGCTATGAAATTTGCATTTATGATGTCACAGGGGCAAAGCCAAACTCATGTTACTCTGTTCCGTCACCACCATTCTGTGGCATACGGCATTCCTGGGAAGTGCTGTACTTGGTTTGGTTTGGGTTTTCTTTTTGCATTTAGAGTGCCTTATAATTGATGCCTATTTTACTACCATTTCCTTTGAGCTTTCGGTTCCTATTTCCATTCGTTGTTCATCTATGTGACTATTCCGATTAAAGCATTCTCTGTTGACCACATGTACAAAAACTCTTGAAATAATATGCATTCCTAGTTCTCCACCGAGTCGGGGATGTTAGTGACTGGACCAGCCCAAAGCACTTGGATGATCAGGGCCCCTCTTCCTTTCCTCATTGCCAACATCGGGAAAAGCTCCTTGTTTGGATTCACAATTCCTTCCCCATCAACTCTAGCGCACTCAGTAACCACACCCAACTTATCGGAGTGACGAGTGCCATTGCTCACTTCGGACGCCATCTGCTTGGCCGTTAGGATTGTGCTAAAGAACATTGACAAGATAGGCGCATCTATGTAGGGCTACAGACAGGCCTATACAGGTACACACATAGCACCCCCACCACTTTCCAACATCATTCCTATAGGAAGCCATGCAGGATGGCATGCCTTTGCCACATCTCATACCATTGTAAAGAACCCTCCAAATAGCCAAGGGACTCGGAAGGAGTTTGGGGATCGGTAACATAGTTCCCTTTGACTTTAGCATCATGGATGTTCTGCATCTAAGAATTTCACTTTCCCAGATTCCCATCACAAGCAGAATGACATCCAAGAGACCAAACACTTGCAAGCGGGGTATTTGAGCACTTTTGTAAAAAAAAAAAAAAAAAAAAAAAAAAAAATTAAAAAAAAAAAGGAAAAACACAAATAACACTCACAAAAAGTATCTAGAAGGCTACCTCAGAACGAGACTCTCTAACCTACATCAGAACCCGAGAAGAATGTGCACTATGTGGGTCTCCAGTTTTCTTTCACTTCCTATCTTTTGGGGATTTATCCAAGTGCCAGATGACTCAGTGCTGTCATTTCCATTTCATGAAACCAAGGGGGTCAGACAGACATTGCATCGCGCGGCCCCGCCACGTTGGACGTGGGGAACCCGATGGTGTCCCAAACACGAGAGCCATTGGCCGGGGAGCGGTTTCCCCTGACACCAAAACCTGCCCATCTGGCAGAGAGAAAGGGGACGTCACGAGAAGAAAAGTGACTGGGATGCAAACCACAATCGAAAGAGGCGGAGATGATTCCAGACATCTGACCATTCAGGCGCTGTTCCGAACACTAACTCCCTTACTGTCATCGATGTGCATTCCACTCTGCTTCTCTGTACCACCATTCTAGTTTCCTTTTCCCAGGTAAGCATCTTGCTCCACCATGACCACACACTCGCAAGTTTCCAGTTATTTTCATCACCATAACCAGTACGGTGCTATTATTTACCTATGTACGTGTAGTTATGTATAATTTTGTAATTAGTTACAATGGTAAAAATATCAAAATATATAAAAAGTGATTTGTACAGAACTTTATTTTAGCTCTTTTTTAAAAATGATTTGCATGGTTAGACAATGGCGAGGACAGCCAGGGGAGGGAAGGGCCTCTAGGGAACTTTGCACTTTCTATACCTTTGTACTATGCACTGCCCTATTGATTCGACACCCAATAATGTTATTACTTGAACCCATCTGTAAGAAACGGCTTCGGAAATTCATGGCTGTGTATGTAAATACCACAACATAGAAACCGGAAGGGAAACAATTCTGCCGTCATACACACATTCTTTTCTTTCCCGTTCATTTCTGGCTCCACTTGGGTTGACTCCCCGCTTTCATTTTTGATTCCCTTTTCTTTGCTCCTTTTTGGGGTTGGCTTTCCTTTGGGTTGATGGGTGCCCTGATACTCCAGCAGAGATCAGAAGGCTACAGATCCATCCTATCCATCTGTTACGTGGCTTTGCCATCCGAGCTTGGAGTGTCTTTACAAAGGGAATAACGGTTGTGTTCTTTGCTCTCGTTTTGGATGCATAGACTGAAACATTTACAAAAATTTAACTTGTAAACTGGCTTGTTAACAAAAATACAATTACCTCTAATTAGTAGTACGCGTACATGTTTTACAGAATGAAAGGCGTGCTTTTTATTTTCCTACTTCGTTACATTGGTGGCGAAAGAAGTCTGTATGAAAATCAGTTCTTTGCTGACACAAGTTCCATTTGTTACAAATGAATTCTAATAAAAATGTCAGTGTTATGCACCCCTGGCCTTGGATTTTGTTCCACTCAAGCACTGTGGTTTGGAACCATGTCACTTCCTGCCCTGCCCTGCCCTCCCCTCCCATGATCAGGTTACTTTACTTGTGCTCATAATGATTCCATTCCTTCCAAGGGTTGCAATGCAAGTGCTTGCCTTCAGGAAAGCACCTTTCCCGGGTGGGCCAAGGGAGCCTGAGAGAAAGAGTTGGCCCAAGTGGAGACATTAACACAGAGCCCTGGGTTTCATTCCCATTAGAGGTCACAGTGATCTGTCATTCTGTGGCAGATGACTACTACATGGAGCGGCCCTACAGTAAAATAGCACCTTGAAACAATGCAGAGCGCTCGCATACATAAAAACCATGCCACAATACTAATGTATTCCATCTTTGGGAATATGGCTAAAAAAGCCTTGGCATACATTGTTTCTTCTCACATTCCATATTATCAAATATCAGTAATAGGTGAGCACTGTTCAAAGCTTGGGGATGCAGCTGTGCACCCATAAGGCCCTACTGTTGCATCCATGCAAAACAGTCTAGGGAGACAGGCTGGTATTCAATACTGATAAAATGACAGTCTGACAAGGACGAGGCAGGAAAGCAGAAGATCCCTAAGGTGAACACTTTCCAACTCAACTTGCCTTATGGCAACAGAAAAAATGATTTCTATGCTACATTCTTATGAAGGAGCTTATAAAACCAGCAGGACCACAACATCTTCAGGAACCACTAAGGTCACGGCGTAGGTATTCGTGTCATCATCCTCCAACCTGATTACCACTCTCCTGGTGTCTATTTTAAGCACCTTTTCCACTTTCTGGAAACTTAAGGATTGTCACTCAACAAACCAGGGAAGGAGAAGCACTTACTTTCCCAGCATTCAATCAGCAACCCTAGGATGGAATGGATACTCACTAGTCCTCACTGACATGACTGGGGATCAGTGACCATCTCAGGATCCCAATTATCGGTAAGAAGACAGAATAGGCTCACTGAACTGTCACATCAAGGATTTACAAGGGGGCTGTCACCCTGCTAAACACCAAACACCAGTGGGACCAACCACTGGGTACGAGTAGATCTACTCATTTCAGGTAAGGCAAAGCACAAGTGTTTGGTCATGTCACCACCACATGGTCCCATGAAAAGAATGAGGAAATGAAACGATACACTGATGAACATTTTTCTGGCAATCCTGAGACTGCACAGACAGACTCTTGACTGCCCTCCTCTACCAAAAGGGTCCTTCCTTTGGCAGATTCCGTCACCCAGTGATGTTGAGGGACATAATCCTTCAGCAGAAAAAGAGAACAAGAGGCTCCAGGTGCATCCTAGTTGATAGTCTGATCATTATGGCCCATTAATGTAAACAGATACCTGAACTGGCATCACAATGACAATGTGCACACGTATGTGTGCACACACACAAGTTATTAGTCCATAATACCTTTTTCATTAGTTCAGGCCTCTTTGACTACATCGTATCCAAGATTCAACTCCACAAGTCCACAGAATATCAAAGTAGAACATCTGAGAAGTATTTATGTTCTTAAAAGGACCTTTGCAAATTTTAAACTAATGTAAGGTCTATGAAATCTTTTTTGACATTTGAAATCTAACATGAGATTTCTTTTTCACTTAGAACAGCACAAAAGAAGAGCTACCTCAAATGCCCCACAGGCAAATATATGTGACGTTATATATTCAAAAATTATCTGAACACATCATCATTCCATGTATGGTATGTGACCGTTCCACCCTTAAGAGTTTGGGGGACAACATTATAACATGAAAACCTGTAAGACTTTGAATGTAGGATCTAAAATGACTACATGAAAATGACAAATAATGCATCACTCATTTAAATAACCCATTACCTTTTCTTAACCTAAACACACTCTCTACACTTTTTATAATACTTAAAATACCACAAAAAGGATATGCTTTAAGGTACGTGAACATATAGAGTAATAGCATGAGGTTTGCTCCCCACATCAAGCACCCCAACCCTTGTGAACTACACCGGAGACAAGAGTCCCTAAAACATCCACTTGGAAAAACCAATGGACATGCGTGAAACCAAGGGACTGGGGACAAATGAAAAACTCTTAAAGGGTTTGCAAGTGCATTTACCTGGGACCCAATACAGAGGCAGTGATTACAAAACCCCAGGACTGTATGTAACACTCCCTGGCTGACTCTCGGGTGAATGCTATGACACATGCACCAGTTATAACTATGCTGACAAGTGGAATTCCTCATGACACCCCACTTCCACCTTGCTGCTAAAACACAGAGGGCAGGCAAGCACGCAGGGAAGTGGCACTTTCCTGCTGGGCTGCTCAGATGGGCAGAAATGGGCACCAGAAGCAAGTAGGTACCGAGGGTAGTCAGCATGAACAAAGCCACAGGCAGGCGGCACCCCCTCTGCTCCCTCACAGGGCAGCTGAGTCCTCAGACACAGGCAGTCCACACAGGGGGCACCCTTTGATCTCCAGGCCCTAGCAGCCAGAAAAGTTCACGCTTCAGGTCCCCATAGTGCTGCGACAACTGGAAAGACAGTGCTCGGCAGGACGCTGCCACCAAGGCCACGCACAGTTTTTCTATTAAAAAAAGAAATACAGATAACTCCGTGCGCGTGCCCCTCCTGTCCTCTTTCCGCCATTTTTCTGTGCCGCCATAATGATGCACATGAATGTCCTGGCTGCTGCTCTCAAGAGCATCAACAATTGCTGAAAAGAGAGGCAAACGCCAGGTTCTTATTAGACCATGCTCCAAAGTTATCATCCGGTTTCTAACTGTGATGATGAAGCATGGTTACCTCGGCGAATTTGAAATCATTGATGATCACAGAGCTGGGAAAATTGTTGTGAACCTCACAGGCAGGTGAAACAAGTGTGGAGGGATCAGCCCCAGATTTGATGTGCAACTCAAAGATCTAGAAAAATGACAGACTAATCTGCTTCCATCTCGTCAGTTTGGTTTCATTGTACTGACCACCTCAGCTGGCATCATGGACCATGAAGAAGCAAGATGAAAACACACAGGAGGGAAAATCCTGGGATTCTTTTTTCTATGGTGTAAAACACATGTGGAAATAAAATGCCTCAATGACAAAAAAAAAAAAAAAAAAAAAAAAAAAAAAACCTGTTTGCCTGTCCAGAGCTAAAACCTAATAGTCTGGCTCAGGTTTGCCGCACAACCACAGAGTACAACTCTTCGGGAACAAATGTATGGAGATACCGTCTCTTTGCTCGCCCTTGCCTTCACCACCTCTCTCCCTGGATCTCAGCACCACTCTCTAGGACACCACGGCGCAGCACATCGCAGCATGGTGTTGACACTGATCTGAAACCCATACTTGACACCCGTCACCCAGGAGATGGCATCCTTCCAAATCTGGTCTGATGGCCAGCAGGATTCAACACTACAGTCCCACATGCCTATGTGTGTTTGCATACCTGTGGTGGCAGGATGGGCACTGGGCAGCATCTGCATGATTCGAGCAGAGCATGTAAAGGAGAGTCCTGGAGCCCTCGGTGGCTTTCTCAGGCCTTAAGCTTTTACATGTAGTGCAGCAACCAGGTACGCGGCAGGGAGGGGTGCTGGGGGGGCCAGGAGGCTGGCAGGCCTCCAAGCCCCTGGCAAGTCTTCACTCTGGCCTTCTCTGGCTTCCTTTCTCCCCTTCTCTCTCCCGCCTCTCCCCTGCCTCTTTCTCCTGTCTCTGTTCCTCCTGGTGACTATCTCAATACTGCTGCCAGGACCCGCAGAAGTAAACAACAACTTAGAACAATGGAACAAATGCAGGCACCCCATCAGGCAGGGCAACCCTAATGGCAGGAGGGCAGAAAAGCCTGAGAATCATTTACCCTACAATACCAAAACATACTTTTTTTAAAAAGATTTATTTATTTATTTATACAAGCACTGGGTACAGTCAGAAGTGCAGGAGGGTGAGAGGATTCACCAGAGCCAGAGTGGGGAGCAGAACAGGCAAAAGGACAGAAGTACACTGCTGAGGGGAGCAGCGGGCACAGCAGGAGAGGTCTGTCGCACCATGTGGGAACCTTGCTGGAGGCCAGGGATCGAACCAGCACTGCAGAGGCTGCAGGCAGCTTCGCAGCCCAGCGCTCAACCGCTGCACCACCAGGGGAGGCCCCAAAACATACATTTCTTAACAGCTCCATGAAAATCTGACTTTTAAATACTATGAAACTAGGTGCTGACTGAGGGCTCATTAGCAGGTGTCAGTATACACTAAAGAACTGAAACCTGTCCAAAATCAGGCTTCCCAGAAAATTACAAATATTTCAGACAACCTGGAGCAACAGCATAGTTGAAATGTCAGTTTCACCTCCTGTGCAAGGTCATTTCTGTAACACTAAGAGAGGTGACTGTCATAACTTCTATAGAGAATCACACAAGAAAAATGAAGACACTGAAATAAACTAGATAAATACATAAGCAAAGTCCAAAGCAAAAGTGGAAATAGTAATCGACCTAATAATTAGTTCAAGGTAACAGTCATTACCTTACCAACCAAACTCAGGAGAAAATTGGATTACACAGTGAGAACCTCAACAAATAATAATAATAATAAATAGAACAGAAGTAGAGGTGAAAAATAGGACCTCACAGAAGTGAAGAATATGACTACACTGAAAAATTCCCTAGAGGGGGTGAACAGCAGACAAGATGAAGCTGAAGAAATACTCAGCAAGCTAGAAGATGAAGCAATGGGACGCGCACACACACACACACACACACGCATCCATGTGCGCACACACACACAAAGAATTTAACACACTAAAGATACATAAGGAAGCTATGGGACGATATCAAAAACAATAAAAGCTGAATTATAGAGATTTCAGAAGGAGAAGAGAACAAGAAATGGGTACAAGACCTCTTTGAAGAAAGAAGAACTGAAAACATCCCAAACCTGGGAAAGGAAACAGAAGTCCAGGCACAGGAAGCACAGAAAGTGCTTTTAAAGGAAATAAATTCAACAAG